GGTTGTGGACAGAAAAGGGGCCGCATACTAAACCTGGCAAGCTGAGGGGAAGGCCTAAAGGGCGGCCATACAAACTCAGAGACCTAACGTAGCCACAGAGGATGGCCCGAAATTAAAACTTTCTAACTAAAAGCAAGTCAGGGCAGGCAGTCATGTCCTGGGGCGGTATCTTCTCCCACAGAGGCCAATCTTTGCCTTCACTAAGCTTGTCTGTCTTTTTGCATCTACAATAACAAAGCAGGGTAATTTCCTTTTTTCCGGACCCGCCCCTCGCCGCACAGAGCAGAGACCTCAAAACTCGTTGTTACTGTTATCATGTTAATTGCTAAGAAGTAGGTGCTATTCCTTTTACTCTTCACCCAATCCCAGGGACTTCCCGCTTGCTTTCTCTCTCTAACCCAGCACCAATGGAGCCCATGTAACCCACTCACACCTCTTCCTTTGTACTGTACAAAACTGCCGTTCTCTGGAGCATTTTCTCATCTATTGAGATTTTGCTTCCTTGCAGTTGTTGTCAGTTTGGCTCAAATAAACTCATAGAAATCCTTACAGGTGTCAGTGTTTCTTACATGGACGGGGAACAATGAGGCCGGCTCCTGCCAGTGCAGGTCAGGTCATGTCTTTTTTTTTTTAGGAAGTCACTTTATTATTTATTATTTTTTATTTATTATTTTTTAATCCTCACCCAAGGATATTTTTCCATTTATCTTTTTTTAAAATATATTTTTATTGATTTCAGAGAAGAAGGGAGAGGGAGAGAGAGAGAACCATCAATGATGAGAGAGAATCATTGATTGGTTGCCTCCTGCACGCTCCCTACTGGGATCAAGCCCACAACCTGGGCATGTGCCCTTGACTGGAATCGAACCAGGGACCCTTCAGTCCACAGGCCAATGCTCTTATCTCCACAGAGCCAAACCAGCTAGGGCTCCATTGATCTTTTAGCGAGAGTGGGAGAGAGAGGGAAAGACAGAGAGAAACATCGATGTGAGAGACGCACATCGATTGGTTGCCTCCTGCATGTGCCCCCACGGTCTGGGCCAGGGAGGAGCCTGCAACCAAGGTATGTGCCCTTGACCAGAATCGCACCGTGAACCCTTTTGGTCTGCAGCCGATGCTCTATCTACTGAGCCACACCGGCCAGGGCAGATCCTGTCTTTTTTAAAGGGCAAATTCAGTTTCTTCACTGTTAATGGGATGCATAGTTGGCATCCCCTCCCTCAGCCTGTTTGAAGATTGTGGTAATGTACATCATTGCTACACCTCATCCTTTTCCTGCCACCTTCCCATCAGCCGACTCCCTGTCTGTAAAGCTGAGCAGGCCGCTTGCCTCGGGGACACTGCGAGGTGGGAAACCCACACCAGCCAGCCTCCAGCACCGTGCATGCAGCCCAGACACCAGTGTGGTGACGTGAAAGCAGAGGGGCTGGTTTGGTAAGGTGCCAGCTCTCAGGCCTGTTTCCTCACCTGTGAATAAAACAGGTAGAATCACATGTTCCCAAAACATGCTCCATTGAGTCAAGCTCTGTCACAGCTGTGGGTCATCACTCGGTGGCGGGAAGCCGCGGTCCAGGAGCCACTCTGACTTCTTTTAAGTTTGTTTTTCAGATTGAAAACCAAGTCACAAACCCAGAGACAAATTCAATACTGTTAGGGTCGCCAAAAGAGGAACGCACGAGGCCGAAAGGGATGAAGAATTACGAATTTATTAGGTCATCTGGAGACCAGATGGGCTGAGCCCCCAAATGGCGCCAGCCCCCAGGGACGGGGAGTCGGAGGTTTTAAAGGACTCTGGGCAGGCTTTTTCTGGGCGGACAATTCTCTGGGCAGGTCCGGATCCTGGGAAGGTCCAGAGGGGAAGGATAATGGTCTTAGCAAGTGGAATGTGGTCTAAGCGAAAGGGAATGCCTTTGTGAAGTGGCCTAGCCAGCCTTTCTGTTGTATGGAGTAGGGACGAAGGTCATAGCTTCCATAGTTACTTCCTGCTGAGAGGGACGTGGAGATCACAGGGGATGGACTTTGATAGGCGCTGGAACACTGTGTAGATTCCTCCTGGTGGGAGCAAGCGGTGCAGCAGCATCATTTCCCCGGGAGACCAGTTGGTGAAGGCTCGAGAGCGTCCTGTGGTCCTATCCAGTGACTTGGGAGGTAAAAGCTGGCCCTGAGGCTGCTACAGTGTCACTTGTCTGGTTTTGCTACTTTTCTGGGCCTGGAGCTGAAATACAACTGAGGCCTTGATGCTATCTTTAGGGAGGAAAGATCAGGGGTCTCAGTTGCCTGACTAGTGACATGAAAGGGGAGAATAGGTTACCCTGGGGGCGAGGTTCTTGTTTTCCCAGTTTTGCCCCTTGCTGGGCACCCACAGGTTTCTTGTAGGTCCTGAGACAGGGTTTCAAAATAGGATAGAGCAGTGGTTAGGCCTCTGGAGACCAGATGGTCTGAGCCTCAAAATGGTGCCAGCACCCAGTGACGGGGAGTCAGAGGTTTTTAAGGATTCTGGGCAGAGAATTCTCTGGGCGGGTCTGGATCCTAGGAAAGTCCTGAGGGGAAAGATAATGGTCTTAGCAAAATGGAATGTGTTCTAAGCAAAAGGGAATGTCCGTTGTGAAGTGACCTAAAGATCAGTTCCCAGGAGTGGGGGTATCGATTCAATTATTTGATCAGACCCAACAAATACCTAGTTGGGAAAGTCCCTTCCTGCACCCCATAATAAGTGCTGCACAATCTGAGAACACGTTGCTTTGCTGAGGTATACCCAGACATCAGTGTTCCAAAACAAACCAGCTAACCTACTCTCTGATTGTTTAACTCCAGCAACTTCCATGTCCTCAAGCCATAAAAACCCGAGCCCCCCAACTGGGGCACAGAACCTTGAGACAGGCTGTGAGCCAGGACAAGTGGAACAGGGAAACTGAGGCAGAGAGCTGAACAAACTGCAAAGCAATTTACAATAGATGCAGAAGGTCCCCTCCCTAAGACAGCATTGAGGCCTCAGTTGTAGTCCAGGCCCAGAAGGCAGCAAAACCAGGTGGACAACACCAGGACCAGCTGCGGTGACTGACGACACCCTGCCCTGGCCCTGACCAATCGGTGGAGACCACGCCCTGGAGGAGCCCACCTGGAAACGGATGCATGTTCTGCTGGAACCCTCCCCTGAAGCCCCCCTAAGGTTCCCGCCTGAGAGAGAGAGAGAGAGAGAGAGAGAGCAAGAAAGAGACCGAGACCCTCAAGACAAAGGGCCCAGAGCCTGCCCGCCCTCTGGGGTGCAGCCGCACCAGTCCCTTTCCCCTCTTCTTCCCCCACCTTCCCCCCAGGCACGCATCTCCTAAACTCTAAGGGACCCCATGGGACTTGCAACCAGGGGAGCAATGGGCAGCAGCAGCTCCTCCCAGGCTAACCCCTGAACCTGACCCCAAGGCCCCCTTTTCTCTGACTCCCCAGAGAGCTAGGGCAGCCCAGCCTGGGCTCTCCTGTTGCTTCTTTTATGCTAAGCCAGCGGTTCTCAACCTGTGGGTCGCGACCCCTTTGGGGGTCGAACGACCCTTTCATAGGGGTCGCCTAAGACCATCGGAAAACACATATATAATTACATATTGTTTTTGTGATTAATCACTATGCTTTAATTATGTTCAATTTTAAACAATGAAATTGGGGGTCACCACAACATGAGGAACTGTATTAAAGGTTCGCGGCATTAGGAAGGTTGAGAACCGCTGTGCTAAGCCCTTCCTTGTTCCACTGTCCCTGCTTTAATAAATGTCCCCTCGCAGTCATCTGGACTCACGCTGTGAAATTTTTCCTGCACAAATTCAAGAACCTACACACTACCAGCCGACCCCAGGCAGACCCAGCAAGGGCCAGGATCCCTTTCCGGTAACAACCTGAGGCCCTATCTCAGTGTTCCGGCCCTCTGCGGAGCCTCAATAAATCTGCCTTTGCTTTTATCAGTGTCCCTGGTCTAAAGTCTTTCTATCAGGAAACAAGAACCTAAACTTGTCAGTAACATAGAGATGGAATAACAATTCCTACCTCCCATGGTGTTTGTGAGGATTTAGTGGAGGCTCTATTTACAAAAGTGTTTTGTAAACTGTAAAATCCAATGCCAATGTGAAATATTTTCATTGGGCTGATTAAAAAAATAAAAAGATGCCTTGGCCAGGTGGCTCAGTTGTTCGGAGCATCCTCCCGTACACTAAAAAAAGTTGCAGGTTCAATTCTCGGTCTGGGCACATACCTAGGCTGCAGTTGGATCCCAGTCTGGTCGAGAACGGGAGACAACCAATAGATGTTTCTATTTCACATTGATCTCTCTCTCCCCCTTCCTCTCTGTATAAAATCAATGAAAACATGTCCTGGGGTGAGGATTTAAATAAGATGTCACTGAGAAAGGTTGAATTGGGTTCAGCTCAGTGGTAAGGCACCAGGTAAGTAGAATTTTACCTGGTCATGGTCCTCTCTACCTCGCCTGCCATCTCTCATGTAACTGGAAGGCAGGCTCAGCTGCCTGCTGAAACAGAAGCCGAATTCCTGAGGCAGGTGCTGGTGCAAAAGGAAAGATGCTTATTCAGGTGCTGACACTTGGGAGAATGGCGGACTCCCCTCTCAAAGACCAATCTACCTGCTCAAACCCAGGGTTCTCACAGGGAGGGGAGGGGGGCTTTTCCCCTCTAATTATCCTCTTAGCTTTTGGTGGCTCAGGCCCTATGCATTCAACTTTCTAGCCTTGGCGCCTCAGTGTTAAGAACCCCCCATGGGCGGGGACCCCTGTCGGGAAGGCTGGAGGTGCTGCAGCCCTCAGCCCCGCCCCAGGCTGCGCGCTGCGGAGGAGGACCCTTGGCTCCCCACTCGCCTGCGGCCTGGGCGCAGCTCCGCGCGGCCCGCCCCTCCCCCTGGCTCCGCAGTGACCAGCGTGCGTTCGCTGCCCTTGGCTCTGCTTGTCTAAGCAGCTGTGTGCCTCCACGTCTCTCCTGGGGCCTGTGACGGTCTCGTTTTCGTTCTCTGGGCTCTAGGCGATGGTGGTTGCTTTAATCAGAGATTTTAAGAGTAAATTAAGGTTGGATAAGGAAGATCCTGGCGCTGGGTGGCACCCAGGTAAGCTGGTGGGAGGGGTGGGCTGGGGGCGGGTCTCCCTGAGGCTCTTAGACTGACGCGCGCCGCCTGCGGGCCCACAGCCTCCGGGGCGGGCCGCGGCTCGGTGGCGGGCGGGCAGGGAGCGGAGCCCGTCGCCGCCTTCCGGGGCGAGCGCTGCTGGAGCGGCTCGCGCAGGCCCGGGCGCTCTTCCCGGCGGTGAGTAGGCGCGGGGCGGTGGTCTCGCCGCGATCTGAGCCGACGGAGGGGTCTGTCCCGCTCGCCTCCGCCCCGGAGCGCGCCCGGCCGGGGAGCTTCCGCCCGGTCAGCTGGGTCGGGGGAGTGGCCGCGCGCTGCCTCTCCGGCCGCCGTGCGGAGCGGGCGCCGGGACCCGCCTGGCACGTGCTGGGAAAGCGGGGTCCCGGGAAGGGCGTCTCGGGGGCTGAGAGCACAGAAGGCCAGCCAGGGGGTCCAGGCACCTGCCCTCCGGGGGCCCCGGGCAGGCGGGGACCGCAGGCTGGGGTGGCGGGAGTGGAGCGCCGGGCGCGCGGGGTGCTGGGGGCCGGCCCGCACCCGCAGGGGCCGGGGCCAAGGCCGGGCTGGGCAGGGGCTGGAAAGGGCCCTTGAGGGGTTGAGCAGACACGAGGGCTGGTTCGGCCGAGGGACAGGAAAGTCAAGTGGTTGGAGCCCCGGGTGGGGGCCGGGGCAGTCCACGTGCGGTGGGGAGCCGTTGGCGGGTTTGGGGTTAGAGGGAGACGGGGGACGAGGAGGGGGCGCTCAGGACTGGAAAATGGCGACTCCTCCTCTCAGGAATGGAGTTCTGGAGGGCGGGACAGGCTCCAGACGGCCCTTCTGCCTGCACCTTGGGTCTCCGCGTCCGGGAGCCCGGTGCAGACCGTGCGTGCGGCTCCGCAGCCTCGCTCCCGCCCCGAGCCCCGCAGTCCGCCCCAGCCCCGCAGTCCGCACGGAGCCCCGCAACCCGTCGAAGGCGGGTGGAGGACCCGCGGCGGGAGTGGGTGTCGCCTTGGGGCCGGAAGGCAGGCCTTGCGGGTGCTGTCACTGATGCTGCTGCGGGAAGCTGCCTGTGCGCCTCGGCAGGAGAGCGGACAGCGATTTTTCATTCTGTGGCACACCAAACCTTTTTTTTTTTTTTTTTTTTTTTTGCTGAGTTGACAAAAATATACATATAATTTTAGTTCATTCGCAACGCACAGCTTTGTGTTGGCTGTTGTCGGTTTTTAAATTTGACGACCTGAAGGAAAAGAGGTCAGTACCCCTGACCAAGGCGTCGGTATTGCCTGTTTGGCAACCCTGGCACAGCCGCCGGGAGAGGAGACCAAGCAGGGCTGCGCGCCTGGCAGAAACGCCAGGGTCTCGGAGGAAAGGAAGCCACAGAGGGAGGGACTCCAGTTCGATCCCAGCACTGTACCTTTCCTGACAACTTCTTCCCTTCTATTGTCAAATGCTCCTTTTCTTGCTGGCGTTTTCACTTCCATCACTTGTTCAAAAAAGTGAAAGAAGTAACAGGTTTTTATGCCTTTATTCTTTTCATCGCATCTCAAGGGGAGACAGGGTGTGCTGCTGTCAGCAGGCCTGGGAGTGCAGCCAGGTCTGCCTCAGTGGGAGCCCGGATACCTGCTTGATGTTGGGTTGCTATCACTATTCTTCTATATATATCTCAGAGAGGAAGGGAGAGGGAGAGAGAAACATCAATGATGAGAATCATTGATCAGCTGCCTCCTGCACGCCCCCTACTGGGGATCAAGCCCGCAACCCAGGCATGTTCCCTTGACAGGAATCTAACTCCGGACCCTTCAGTCTGCAGGCCGACGCTCTATCCACTGAACCAAACCAGCAGGGCTTCGTTTTTTAAAAATCCTCACCAGAAGACATGCCCAGAGAGAGAGAAAGAGAGAGAGAAAAGGGAGAGGGAGAAACATTGATGTGAGAGAGGAACATCAATCCGTTGTCTTCCATGCATGCCCCGACCAGGGATCCAGCCTGAAACCCAGTATGTCCCTGAGCCGGAATGGAACCAGTGACCCTTCAGTGCACAGGATGATGCTCGGCCACCTGGCCAGCTCACTGTATTCTTTACAAAGATCTGTATATGTTAAAAACCCAAAGAACCATCTTTTCTCCTAGATAGGATCTTAGAGAGTGTCTCCTTTAATCCCATTTTCCAATGAAACGGGGTCAGAATCAGGAGAATGGTGCGGGTGCTGGTGCGGCCGTTCTGGCTCCCTCGGCAGGCTGTGCTGCTCTGAGCGCTCTGGGACCCGGCATCCCACCGTCGGAGCCACAGTCTCGGCTTGGACCTGGAGTGTCGTTGAGCGACTAGCACCTCTGCCTTTGGGTTAAAATTGTGAGTTAGCTGTCACCTGCAGGACCGCGCTGCAGTCCCTGGCGCAGAGCAGGAGGGGTAACCTGGGTCTAATAAGGAAGCTGTTGCGACTCACTCCCCCCGCCCCCCTCGCTCATGTGTTTGTTTCTCTCTGTTGCTTCTCACTCCCCTCTTGCTGATGTGTTTGTTTCTCTCTGACCTCAGGCTCCCAGAGGTGGGCACGAGCCGGTGGTTAGACGCAGGGGAAACAGGCAGGCGCCTTCCCAGCCCCAGCCTGGCATTCCTGGACCGTGGCAGCCGCCCCCAGGGGGCCAGGTCCCTGACCTCTGAAGCCGAGGCTGTGGGATCCGAAGGAAGGCAGCCCCTGAGCAGATGGTCTGTCACAGGAAGCCAAGCCGACCAGGGCCTTGCAGGCCGCTCCCTCGGGCTCTGCTACCTCAGGGCGGTAGGTAGTCCCAGGGGCAAGTCCGGGAGTGGATAAAGCTAGGAAGAGGTACCATGGAAGTGCAGAAGCTGTTCCCCGGCACCGGCACCGGCACCGGCACCGGCCCCGAGCCTGAGCCCGAGCCCAACCAGGAGGCCCCGCGGACAGCAGTGAAGAGGGAATGCTGGTGGCAGGCCTGGGCGGAGGTGAGGAGACCAGCTGGGGCGGGCGTCCTGGGCCCGGCAGCTTTCGCCCATTCCCGTCTGCAGGTCAGATGGGATCTCAGGCTGCTTCAAGCTGAGCTGCACCCAGGAGGGGCCGAGGGCCCCCCGGCAGCACCGAGCCCTCACGAGTGCTTCCGGGGCCGGCAGAGCCGCAGCCTTTCTGCTTGCTTCCCTCTGGTTCTTTTCTGTGTAAACCCTCCATTTGCTCCTATATTTCCCTTCCTCCTCTCCAACCTTCCTTTCTTGTCTGTACGTACCTGTTGCTGGCTCTGTGCCTGAGTTTTCTGTTTCCCCTGCTTCTGTGGTTATAGTTTTCCCTTTGCTTTCGGGACGGAGGCCGGGGTCTGCTCTGGGTCCAGACTCCCTGAGCCCCTCTCTTCCAGAAGCCAGTCACCTTGGAGGACGTGGCCGTGCACTTCACCCCGGAGGAGTGGCGTGTCTGGACGCCCGTCAGAGGCCCTCTACCAGGAGGTCATGTCCGAGACCTTCAAAACCCTGGTGTCTGTGGGAAAAGAGGCAGGTCCGCGGCCCCGGTCATTTGGCTTCCCTGGCAGGTCGACTGGTCCCTTGGTTCTCGGGAGTGAGGATCTGGGTCACAAGCTCAGGGAGAGAGGAGGAGGACTGAGCCTGCACAAAGTGACGTGATGACAGCTCGCCAGGGGCGAGCAGAGTCCTCCTCCATCCTTGCCAGCTTCCCAGGCCGGCTTGGCGGAGGGCCCGCGCCTTAGGGGCTGGGTCTTTTTGAGCGTCCTCCCCCCTGCATCTGTGTTCCAAGAATTCTAGGTTCTTAAAACAA